AGGTATACCTCAACTATGAGAGACAAAATGGGGGAAAAAATCCAGAAAATCACCTTGTCTGATTTTTAAAGAAAAAAGAACTGCTGCCAAAGAAAGGGGGCATATATTTTTGTATCCGAAAGGGAAGCTCACCTCTACTGATGCGCTGTTTCTCTCCTGAAAGAATGCCAGGGCTATCTATAATGCTGATGCTCTTCAGAACCTGATTGGGTAACTGAGCACACATGAACCTACATGGAAAAGAGAAAACCCTGGTTATCTATGCACATTTTTTTGTCAGAAGAACTAGGTCTTTCCCTCTATCGAAACTACCAGTGACAGACCTCCTCACCCAGAGCATGAAAGGTGGTGTTTCATTTTGTCTGATTTCTGCATATGAAAATGATTCCAACTTTCAGTCTCCTACACATTTGGAGAGCATTGAGGACTCTCCATAAGAGGGAGAATCCTGCTTAGAACAGGATCCTGTTTTGCATGGAGAAATTGTATATGAATATGGTGATTCACATGTAGGGCCCTTATCACATTCATATGGCCATGCATGGTCACTGGGCATGATTGTAACTCCCACTCCAACATGTGTGATCCATATTCAATGATCAGCCTTCCTGTCAGAAAACAAGAAGCGCTGTATTATTTTATTGCTGGTGTTTTCTTTTTCGAAATATCCAAAATAAATAAAGATGGGTCAATCTTTTTTCCTAAAAAAACTCCAGATCATCTTTATGGTGCTTATAATTGATGCAGTTATTTGTAACTTGGTTTTAGGCTATCAAGGAAATTATGTACATGTATGTCTATGATAAATATACACAATAAATATTTTAAAAACAAAAGTAACAATTTCTGGGATATTTCCATGAGTTTATCCGTTATCCTTTGGGGATAAAGAAGGGAGCCAAGCAGGCTTACTGTCTTTGCCTGTCTAGTGGTGTCTTTCTTCAAGGATTCCCTCCATAGAGTGGTGGTAGATTAATAGCTGGGAAGAGAGAAGAATCCAGATATCTAAGAGATAGATTTCCCCTAAGGAGCTCAGAGTTGTTTTAAACTCCCATCAATTCCAACTGTAGATGTCCCTATCAAGATGATAGCACTTGTAGAGAAACACACAGGAAAAGGTACATAATATTGCCATTAACCGGAGATGGATAAATGAAGATAGATAGTACAATGAATACCTGAAATTTCATTTTTCAAATCCAAAAATAGATTTCTCTAACTTGGCCAGTTTTAACTGTGCTGGATTATAACTCCAATAGCTAGTTTATCTGGGATTGACAGATATGCTGTTCAATACAACTGGGAAGCATTACACTGTAGAAAAATGTATGATATGATAATGAAAACAGAGGAAACTAAGGGACTGTTCCCATTCATTAAAAAAAAAGAAATGTGATTGAAAAATTAGAGGACACATATGGCTATGGACAAATGTTAAGCCAAATTCTACACAAGATTTATCTACATATTGGTGCAAAGTTAAGATGATCCAATTAATAAACAAAAACATTAAAATGAATTGTGATGGCCACATTATGTCTTCCTTTTTGTACTAATTATTTCATTTATTTAACAATATTATAAGCTATGCCTTATAATATATAAGCTATATGCCATCCATATAGACTGGGTGATGTACAATACATTAAAATACAATTTAACAATATATATTTAACAATATTTATAAGCTATATGCCATCCATATAGACTGGGTGATGTACAATACATTAAAATACAATAAAAAGCAAAACAAAATAATAAAATGATCAGCTAAATACTAGATGATGGGTTTTACAGCTTTTTCCATTTGGAATGATTCTTAATATTTTCTGCAGTCTTTTTACTAGGCTATGAAAAAAAAAAGCTTTACAAAATCAAGTAAAGAACAATACAATTGAAATATATTTTAAAAATCATTGATATTGTCCTCCTCATGCACTTATTGGCTGGCTAAAATAAAATCAAGTGTTATGAGAAGACTGTGTCCTTTATATCATCTAAACAATCACACTGTGTTTTAAATTTTCTGGATGCCAAGTGATGTAGTAGTGGCAGGTTTTACGTGAAAAACAAGAACTGCAGTTATGTATGGAGACAGCACTGTAATATACTCAAGCTATTGTGAACAATTATGGACAATAAGAAAAGAGATAAGAGATTTTTCAGTAGTATATAAATAAGCCGTTTGGATTCTAAATTAGAATTATTTACAGCAGTTTGTCTTTTTAGGAAAGCAGCAGAGACATATTTCATTGCATTATCCCTGAATTCTTGCTGGGCTACAAATCAAATGTAAGAATCAGCATTTAAAAAAAAAAAAACTTTTCTGGGCTGATAAATACACCACCAGGGAACAATATTTTAATTGCGTTAGATTAGAACAAAAGCCAATTAAAGTTCTTTCCAGGAAAAAAAGAAAAGAAATTGAAAAGTTTTAGGAGGAAAAAAACAGCAAAACTGACCTGGCTTTGCCATCTGGGCTGGGGATCAGAGAATTGTGTGGAGTCCATAAAATGGCTGCACTGTTCTTGACTGGCTGTGCTCTCCTGGTGGCTGAACTGTATGGCTTTTAATTGTTTAATGGTTTTTAACATTTGTATTGTCTGTATGGCTGTTTAATTTTTTAAATTCTTTAGCACTGTTTATGTTTTAATTGTAAGCTGCCCAGAGTCACAAATGTGAGATAGGCAGCTATATTGAATGAATGAATGGATTTTTAAAAAAAAGCTGGAAAGGACTTTTTACAGAACCAAATACATTTTTGTCCCTTCTTCCCTTCCATTTGACTTAAGCCACAAAAGCAGAACCAGGGTTTAGGCACAGTTTCAAGGCAAGAGAAAATTGGGAGAAGTGACTGTGAGCACTAGAATACTGATGAAGTAAGACAAGGAAGAGTTTTGAGGTTTCCTTTCATTCTTCTCATGAGAGCAAAATGGGAGCCTGTGGCTCTGATTCTGGAAAGAGTGAGGCAAAGAGTGGCTCTAACTTTAGGAGTGAGGGATATATGAAAACCAATCTCACAAATCTATACTTCACAGTGTATTTTATTCCTTAAGTAGCTTTGTTTTTTTAAAAAAGTAAAGCTAAGGGGCATTTTAGGGTGACCAGAATAGGCAGTGGAACCCCTTTACTCTTTGCATATTTGAGTGATAATCAATCTTATTACCTGTTCATCTGGGAACGCAATGTGGTGTATACAGAACTCCCTCCACCATTTTTTTCCCATAATTATAAATATGAGAGGTAGACAGCTAAGAAACAGTGATTGGTTGAAGTCATCAGTGTATTTCTGTGAGTAAGGGCATGGGCTTGAACCTGGATTTCCCCAATCCTAGCCCAATACCTTTTTGTCCCACTAAAAAGACTAGAAAACTCTTTCAAAATGTGCAGATTATGTCCTACAACCCGAAAAATACTGCTCCATATAAGTCTGCTTACTAACTTCTTGCCTTTTTATATTTCAGTCCCCCTTACATGAATCTTGAAAATGATAGAAAATGACATTAGAGACAAATTCCCATTATTCTAAGTTACCATATATTTTATTAGCTTTCGCTTAAAATGTTACTATTTATTACAACAATTCTATGGACATATTTGCATGAGCCTATAAAACAAAGAAATTTATGACTTTTTTGGAAATGTACATGTCTGTATATGTCATGCTGGTTGGAAGACAAGAGGCTAGAAATGGTCCACAGAAATGTGATTATTCAACAGTACAAAAATGTTGTTAAATATATGCATAAATACACAGTCACAGAATTTAAAAACTAGCACACAGCCTTTCCTTACCTATTCAAGAATGCATTTCCAAAACGACTGAGTTTGCGGAATGGTTTCTTGGGATCCACAACAAGAGCGTTTCCTGGAGTACTCCCTTCAGTGTCTCCATACATGACAGCAATAAAAGAATCTGTAGTTGGTTCAGGGCCAATTCGCATTCCTGGAAAGTCTTGCTCTAAGAGGTACCTAATTGTGATGCAAAATATAGTAAAACAATATTAAAAACAAACTGAGAAGCAAAGCTCTAAGGTCTAACCAAATACAGATTTCCACAACTATGGCAACATGAAGACATCTTCTATATTTCCATTTCTAAGTTAGCAAATTTATCAGTGCTCTCAAAATCTATGAATAAAATAAGTCTGCATTTAGTGGGGTACAGAAATAAACATGGATTCTGCTACCATTCAAAAGAGATTTGGCCAACTGGTTTAATATTAAACAAATAATGGACATATGTTTTTAAATAATAAAATACATTGGAATAAAAGACCAATCATTAATATTTATGATAATAAACATGCTAGTTATTTTAAATTAAAATAAATACAGCAGAAATTTTAAAGCTAAGTTTAAAGGCCATTCTGCTAAATTACTAATCAAATTAATCAGCTAGCATCTGAATTTTTTCATTTTTATCTATATTACCAAATTTATCATCAGTGGCTTCCCCTTCCTGTTCACCTAAACAGTGAGCCAACTCTTGATGTCTTACATCCTTTTCCACTTTTTATTTGAAATACCCAGACAGGAGAGGAAATGTTTTCAACTATACCATTCAATTTGCCTATGAATGCTGCAGAACTAGGGGACAAATAACTTTTACCCATTAATACATGAAATACATACTGAAATGTTTATGAATCAGGCTGCTACCTATATAGTTATTTTCTTGGCTTCATAAAATAAGGCCAAGTGACAAAGTTTGGCAAATGCATCAGTGCAAACAAAAAAAAAAAAGTATATAAAATGACTACTTGGCAGATCTTTCCCCAAATGCTTATTATTATTTTCTTCAAGGGATTACATAAATACTAGTCTTTAACAGCTGTAATAAAAACTAAAGTAATCCAATTCTGATAAGTCAAGCAGCATTATTTCCTTTTTTTTTCTTCAAACAATCTTGTGTAATTCACATGACAGCGATTTCCTCTCTATCCACATCCCAGAGACAATTACCTAGAAGTATGCTATTATCTGTTTCCTCCTGTAGTCACAGAGAAAATAAAGCCAGAATAGGAGACACTGAAGAACGAATGGCATTCTATTTCAGTACTGGGGCCATAAATTCCTATAGTTCTCAACCAGCATTTGAAGAAGTCCAGGCTGGGAAAACCTATTCTATTATATATTTCCAAGAAAAAGAAAAATTACAGATAGCAAATACCTATGCTATAATACTTTATACAGATAATTTACAGTTCTTTGGAATATTTCATGCCAACCCATTCCATGCCCACACCTTGAGTGGGTTCCTGGATTCACACCTTTACCTAGATTCAAGAAATACACCTGGACAGTACTGCACATTCAGTGGGGTTCCTTTCAAAATGTTAACTAGTATAATATAGCTGCAAAGCGGTTTACAAATACATTTAGAAATGATGTAGCCTCATTATTTAAAATGAATCACTGGCTGTCAGTTTATTTATGGACATGTCAAAATGCTATTTTTCAGCTTCAAAGCCTAAGCATCTATAGCTATAATAGGTAAAGTTTGTCAATTATTTTTGCAGCAAACTGTATGGATAGTTTTCTACTCATCCTTCTCTCAAATAGGCAACATACCCAAAACACCTAAATCAAGCAGAAATGATAAAAAGTTGGCACAAAGTATTTAATATGTGCATCACAAACAGATGAATGGAAATTTTTAAATGGCTGAACAAGGTTGGGAAAATCATACTGAGCATATAAAACAAGATGCTGGCTTGCGACTAAGTGAATGAGGAGATAACTAGCACTGTTGGACAGAGGATTTTTAACAGAATGAAGGAACTGATAAGCTGAAATGTCAACAAGAAAACTGTCTCAGAGTATTGTGAGACGCTGATATAGGGTGTTTTCTCAGTAACAAAATAATTTTTTTCTTATACTAAAGATCTTCTAAGGTTGCAAATTACAATAAAGAGGCTGCTAAACAACTGTGATTAGGAAGGAGATGGAAACCTTGTAGAGAGAGAGAGAATCACAAAAGGAAGCTCTGAGGGCAGAGACCCCTGTACTGCAAGAACCTAAGTAGCAGGGATACCATGCGAGATGTACTGATACATGCTGTGATTGTGGGCATGATCTGAATGCAGAATCGGACTGCCAAGAAGTAAAAACTGTGAGATAAAGTCAACAACTAGAAGAATCAGCGTTTGGAGCTGACCAACCAAGAAGGTACACTAAAGAAGCATGAGCACTCTAAACATCAGCCTCTCCTTTGAAAGAGCTACATTTAAGACAGACCACTTAGCAATATGTTTGAGTGCATGCAGTACAGGTAGTCCTTGGTTAATGACCATTCATTCAATGACTGCTTGAAGTTATGACAGTGCTGAACAAGGAGACTTACGACCGGTCCTCGAAGTTGCGGCTGTCGCAGTGTCCCTGCAGTCACATGATAGTGATTTGTGTGCTTGGCAACCAGCTCACAAGCGTCCCACAGTCATGTGATCACCATTTGTAACCTTTACTACTAGTTTTTTTCTTAAAATAATTTTGTTAAAGTTTTAAAAATGAAGGTAAAAACTAATACAAACTAATATAAAGTAAGGAAGAAAAAAAGAAAAAGAAATCAAGAAAAAAACCAGAAGTGCAAGAAAGAAAGAAAAAGTAAAAAAAGTAGAACAGAAAGAAAAAAGATACAAAGAAATGGCTTCCGATCTACTTTACAGCAGTTATAACTACAATTATAAATTTACCTCTTTCTCTAAAGTCACATCATAACTCTCTTCTTTCTATAGTCTATCCTGTCTAATCATCAAAACCATAAATCATAAGTTCATTTTTTTGGTTTTACACAAAAAGGCCTTAAGGAGTTTCTAGTCAGCACTATAAGTAAATATTGTGTTTTCTCTAATCAAAGAAGTCAATTTGGCCATCTCAGCAAGTTCCATCATCTTCACCAACCATTCCTCCATTGTAGGTATTGCCAAATCTTTCAATCTTTTAAGAACAATTATATCTGTATTATAAGTCTTCAGTCTTGTCTTAAAATGCTGCTGCAAAACTTGATCTCTTGTCTTCTTCCTGGGAAAGTGCACCAAGACATCCCTTGGAACATTTCTTATTCTTGCAAATTTTGTATTTATTCTATATACTTTATCAATTTCTGCCTCTGTATCCTCCTCATCCCATTCCAAAAATTTGCTAAAGCTTTAATAACTCCTTCTCTAATATCTTCACCAGAATCCTCTGGAATTGCTGTAAATCTCAAACAAAATTCCTTCTTTCTCAGTTTCAGTAGTACAAAATTATCTAAGTCTCTTTCCAGCTCTCTGTTTATAATTTCTGTCTTATTCTCCAGAATTTCCACTTTCTCATTAATTTTACATCTCCAGACACTTGTTTTACAGAGCTTTCCATCTTCTTAACTTCTTTCATATCTTCTTTCATCTTTACAAGTCTTTCATCCATTCTTTTTTCAAAATCTGTCAATTTAGTATCAAGTGATTCAGATAACTTATTCCTCAAACATTGTCTGAAACAAATCAGGTGTAATTCCTCTCTCTGCAGGTTGCTCTAGCAATCTTCTCCTCCCTTCTGCTATTTTTGCTACTTTTCTGGTGGTTGCCATTGTAATATTGTAATCTAAAAGTGAAAGTGTCTCAATTGCAAGGGAAATTGCAAGCTTCCTCCACCAACCTTTTTTCCCCTTTTTGTCTTCCTGTACTCTTAATCTGTTTGGTCTAAAATGGCACTTTGTAGTTACAGTCAGCATCACAGTCTGGCTCATATTATCTTTATCTTTTATTTGTAAAATCCATCAATTATCTGCACTTTTTAACAGTAAACAAAACACATTCCCATGAAGGTCTGGTCCGTTGTTTTAATTCCAATTTGTTTAAAAGTACTTTCACCAAAAAGTAATCTTTCAAAATTACTATCCTCTTTAATGTTTTAAACTTTCCTACATCCAATCTTTGTTAAGCTTTTTGCCAAAAGTTTTTAAAACTTTGAAACCTCCCCCTTTTTCCTTTTTAATCCAGAAAGAATGTTGACTCACCAAGTGGATTTCTGTTATCCTGCCACTCAGAAAATCTCCCTTTAGCTGTAAAGTGATTACATCTGAGAGTATTTAAGAAAGTGAGGCTTTGAAATCCCTTGACCTGAGAAAATTGAAATCCCTCAATTCACAGCCGCTCAACTCATGAAATGATCGCAAAAAACTCAATTCCTGCAGTCTCCTCAGGAGGAGCAGCTGTCTAGAGTGCACATGGGCGGTCTCAAAACCTTTTCTTGTCTGGAAAAACTGTGCTGGCCAGAATTCATCATCTGGCCACCGATTGCCACTGCAATGCTATCCCACTCCTTCACCGACATCTAGTCTGTCACAGATACTCACCTGGAAGCCTTCACTGCTGGTTTCTGACAAGCAAAGTCAATGGGGAAACTGGCAGAAGGTCATAAATAGTGATCACGTGATGTTGCATTTAACGACCATGCGGGATTTGCTTAACAACTACAACTACTAGAACTGCCATCGTAAGTCAGCAGTCATGTGATGTTGGATTTTACGACTGCATCATTTAGTGACAGGGTTCCCAGTCCCAATTACCATAGTTAACTGAGGACTACTTGTATGTAGCATTATTGTTACTAACCAAGTTTTAAATACATCTTTTAGAGACCAAGTGGGTGGTTGAAACTCCCTCCCCTTTTTACATCATCTGATGCCAAATCTGAAGACCTATAAATGCTTGGTTATGAAAAGTTTGTTTTTCTTCATAGTTCTGAATAATGGAACATTTGTTATATTTTAGTTTAATAATCTGAGGATCTGTCTTTTTAATTTTTATGAAAACTAGGGAAGGTACTTGTGAAATTTAAAATATATTTATATATGAATGACTATAATAATTGGTCAACATTCTATTAATGTCTATAATATTATTTGTAATATTTCAAAATCAATTTTTTAAATAAAAGTTAGATGTTATAGCTTGGCTATGATATAAAATACAACAATGGTAGAGTACTTAAAGATGCAGAAAAATTGATAGTAAATATTACTAAGCAAGTAAACAAGTTATGTCTCATTGACAAACAAGATTTTGGGTATATGTAAAACTACACAGAAAGCACAGCTATTAAATCAGGTATTTTTTATTATCTTTATGTAGTGAAAGTTAAGGCATTAAAACAGTTCATTTATATTTTTTCTGTACAAAGGAATTGAAAATGAAAGCCTTATTTTAAAATTCAGTCTTTAGGACTTTAAATTCAGTCCAAGGTTTATATAAAAAATTAGTCATTAGATTTTAGATTAACATCTTAAATAATTTTTTTTTGTTCATTTTGAAAACAACTTCCATAAAAAGGTAGAAGAATAAAATATATTTAGCAGAAAACCCCAAACCCACACATTGGCAGAATCAATTTTGTGATCTGAACCTGGAAAATCACTACTGTATTTCGGTTTGAATACATTTGAAATTAATTCAGATTCAGCCTAGAGTTTGTTTTTCTTTTTAAAGCACACTATTCTGTGAAAAACTATAATACAAAACTTCAACCACAGACTCCTTAAAATGGCACAAAATGATTCCTATAACACCCTTCACAACAGAAACCAGAACCTTCAGTTCAGTCAACATCAGTCTCTCTGCTCTTTGGACTTAAGCCAGTTCACCTTCCAACAACATCAGTAAATCCAAATATAAACAATTGGCAGTATATATTTCCAAAGAGAGAACAATGGTTCTTTGGGCAATTTAAATTCTAGCACATTAACTGTGCTAAATGTTTATTTCACTATCCACTGAAGAAATGAATGTGTCAACTTTGAGTTAACAAACTTCTTATCTTGAAGTTAAGTATAGAACTTGTTAGGCTATCTATTGGGTGTAAAACTAAACTTGTAAAAAGAGAAAGAAGCAGCAGATAATTGAATAATGATTGCCAGGAAGGAAAAGCACTTAAAACAGTAACAACATTTTAACTGGACTTCAATTCCCATAAAACCCATACAATCCATACTGCCTTGGACATGAAGGCCAAAAGACCTGGTGATTACCAGGTTGAAAAAGACTGTATTTAATATCAGTCCATTAGCTGAGGAGAGACAATGAGAGGAGGCGGAATGAATGTACTGAGTATTTATCACAGGAAAAGGAAGCACTAAAGTAATATAGATGACATAGAAAAGGTAAAAACTGTATCAATGTTTCCTCAAACTGTGCTCTCCTGATGTGTTGGTATTACAAGCACTAGAAATCTGGGATTACAGCCCAGGTGTCTGGAGGATACTACTTAAGGCCATTCATGAAATATTTAGTATTGAATTACAGTTAAAGACATAAATGTGATGTTAAATTATATTCCTAAACTTTAATTTAATTTGTAATTTAATGGCAAGCTTTATTTCTATCGAGCCTGCGGCTCAGCAAAGAGATAATTTTATGTAAATAGAAGGAAATTTATCTTCTTGATACTAAGAAATGGATTCAGGATATGAGCCTCAGTTGTTTTTGAAATTTTTATATTTTAAAAATGAAACAACGAAGCAATATGTTTCTATCTAGGCTAAATTTAATGACAAGCTAAAGGGCTATATTAATCCCATATTGAAACAAATGTACAGTGGAACCCCGGGTTACAAACGCCTCTGTTAACGAACTTTTTGGGTTATGACCAGCTCTGGCT